GTCCCCGCATTTCATTTTTCTCTACCACTTAAACTATTAAAGAGTTAAATAGTAATTTCCAAATTCATATTCTAATAGATGACAAAAATACCATCAGAAATACTCAGGCATAGTTACGTGTAACAGTTTGCATACCATTAGTAAATTCTAACTCTGAGAAATACCATGCCTGTGAGAAAATGATGATTATACAAACTTTGCAGCTGAAGTAAATGTGCTGCTGAAGATCTCTCTCTATCCCCCTACAATTTATGATTAAATAAGGAAGAGTTTTGTTTAAATGAAAATTGAATTGTAAATTGTGGTAAATAAAGCCCACTTAAATTCAGACCCTTTGCTGATTTGGTGGCTACTAATGAAATTTGCTGAAAATGTTTAATACAGAACACTATGCCAATTATCATATTCCTATGAGAGGTTAAATAGAAAATGAATAGCTAAGCATTTAGGTAGGGAAAATTATGTAATGACCACTTCAGTAACTTTTAGTCCCCACCCTGAAATTCTGTACATTCCTAACATTCAAATTAAGAAACACAACAGTTACAATGGAGTTTAGCTGACTGTAAAATCAAGCAAATCAGCAGCATTTGTAGAAATAAAAAATTCTAGTATAAAAATTCTAGTATACTATACAATTTTTAAATTAACAAGTTGTTATGTTTTCATAAAGCTGTTCCACTGTGGTAACAAATATTTATTTTAGGAAAAATGGAATTGTAGAAAGTACTAAAAAGTAGTAGCAGCAAAGGAGGGAGGAAATTCCATGTAATGCTTAGAATGTCTGCCAAAAACAACCTTCAGCAAAATAGATGAAAACAACTCTCCTATTAATCTTTGTCCTCATTGGCCCTTTGGCTTTTCTATTCTTCCCTTGCAAGCTTTATTTTCCATGTCCACAGCATTCAGTTCTAAGTATACACAAATCTTTTTAAGGTCCGCAAAAGCTGTATTTTATAGAGGTCATGTTTGGATACTTAAACAACAGGTTTTGGTTTCTTTTTCAAGTAAAAACTTATATTTATAATAATAATCCTATATATGTATGTGTCTGGATATACATATAACATTTTATGCATGCCTCCCTCTCCTTCTCCCTCTGTGTATTCACCTGAAAGGCCAAAATGAGTTTAATTTAAACTAAAATATTATTATCATTTGTCCAAAGAAACCCATCTAAGGCTTTCTTCATGTATGGCAACCAATTTCATTAGAGCATCAGTTCTGGGAAAGATCTACTTGATAGTTTACATTGTAACAAGAAATTATTACAAGAGGATAAATTTTATTGCAGAGTATGAAGCTATGCAGCCTGGAAAAAAACAAGTCTAATGATTTGCAGATAAAGTTTCATTCATTTTTCATTTGTATAGCCCAACAATTTTACATAAAATGATATGATTAATAAAGATATATCCCACAGTATGTGGGCTTCTCAAATAGCCTCTTTCTGTTTTAAAAACAGAGTGGGGGTAAGAAAGAAGAAATATGGAATATTTTCATCTCACAATTGTGGAGAGGACTGAACACAAATGCTACTTTTGGGACTGTACTATAGATCTTGGGTTGAATTAAAGTAGGAAAAAATATTTTGTTTGCTTTTTAGTACACATCTACTTTATTGATGACTTCTCAAGAAGTAGCGTTCAGCTGATCTTGTCTCAGATTGGAAACCAAGCAAGTTTAGGGCTCATCAGTAGTTAGATAGAAGAATACTGGGCTAGGGGCTAGACTGGGAAACCATTTATTTAAACAAAAATGTTTGTCACCAATTTCAGTTGACTCATGGTAGCTTAACAAGTAAAAATAAGTAAATAAGAAATCTAAAATAAATGTAAAGCATTAAGGCATGTACTGTATGATTAACAATGAAACAATAAAACATCTATGCAAAAAGGAAAAAAAAAGAAACCACTAAAATATTCATGAATGAAGGCAAATATATGTGTCCCAGGATAATGTTGCAGGATCCAATCTGGATAGGTCATCAGGACCAGAGGTTTTGTCTTCTGAGGTTTTCAGACTTTTAGCAAACACACTCTGAAGATGGCCTTCAGCACAAGTCTGAAAGCTAAGTAAACCTCTAGTCCTTGATGACTGATCTAGATTGGATCCTGCAACTAAAATATCCATGATAAATAACAGACACTAAAATGGCATGGTACAATAAAACAAACACACTAAAATCTTAGTATCATAAAACATTAATAATCCATATTGCATTATATCCAAGAAGATCACAGCTAACAGAACATCAATAAGAGAACATTTAGTTCCAAAAGACTCTTTGGAGTAGTTCAGTTTTTTAATGCTTTTTGGAAAGCAGTCTAATGTCCAAAGGGAGGTTATTCCATAAAACTTTCCCAAAGAAGGCAATGGAAAACCATGTTTGTATATTGCCAAGAAAGCTGTATGAAAGTACCTGAGAAGTCACCAGGAGCTGAGATAATTTGAAAACTATTTTACTGTTTAATTTTATTTACAGCTGCCAAAATATTTTACAAATTGTCACTCACTTTACACACTTCTTCAAATTTTATTTTTCATACAAAATGTCCAGTATAGGAAAATAGATGTTCATTTTCAAAGAAATTCATCCAAAATTTCATGCAGACTTTTGACTAAAATGTTTAAACTGATGGGTTTATGGGAAGAATTAGTGTTGTCTATTGTATTTGTGTATTCTGTAAAGTTAACTTCACTGCTAAATAGATCTTTGCTGTAATTTTGGATATTTACAATGTAAGCTGCAATCGTGTGGAATAATTGTTAACTATTATTTGCTTGCATTTTATTTATCAGATGTTCTGTCATTTGAACAAATATTGCTATTAAATCAATTCAAAATTTCAATTATTAGAAGATAAAATTTTTTACATGTGTTATTTGTCATTTCTATACAACTGTAGAGCTCCTATGTTGTACAAACTTTGGAGAATCCAGAGGGGAAAAAAAATAACTGGTGGATGGAAGTTTGACAACAAAAAAGTAATATTAGAACATTTTATTCTCCTGACCACTCTATTACAGATCTCAAAGTACTGTAGCTATTTTGGAAAAAAAAGGAAAATTTACCAGCACAATTGAGTAAGAGACTGCCAAAATAACATATGTCAACAGTTCTATCCGAACTTTGTTACACTTTTTTAATTTAAAAGTATAAGCTTTTCAATAAAATGTGTTAATCTGAAAACGCTGCTATCAAACTCCCTTCGCTTTTTGTCTACATAGAATGCACCCCTTCTAAGTGAAACTGCATTTGACTTATTCTCCAAAATAAGGATATATCAAGAAGCAATGGGTAGAAGCTTGTCAAAGAGATCTGGAACTAAGGACAACACTTCCCAACAGTGAGAAAAATTCATCAATGGAACAGCTTGCCTCCCAGAGTTATGGATGCTCCATTGTTGGAGGTTTTCAAGAAAAGATTGGACAACCATTTGTCCAGGATGGTATAAGACAGGGGTATCAAACACGATTTCATTGAGGGCCAAATCAGGATTGTGTTTGACCTTGGGGCTGGGATGGGTGTGACCAGGGTGGGAGTGGCCAGCTCAACGTCACTTGTGTCGGTGGTGCCTGTGCCAACGAAAATGGGTCTGCCAACGAAAACGGGTTCCAAAGCTCCATTTCCGGCTGCGATGGCCTCCTGGAACCCTCTGCCAGCAAAAACAGAGCTTGAGAGGGCTGCATGCAGCCCACCTGAGCTGTGTTTTTGCTGGCAGAGGCACCGCAAGCTGGTCCCTCGCTATTTCTAGGGTGGGCCCACTGGCCAGATCTAAGGACCTTGAGTTTGACACCCCTGGTTAAAGGTCTTCTGCCTTGGGCTATGGGGCTAGACTAGAAGACCTCCAAGGTCCCTTCCAGGTCCATGATTCTATTCTATTTTAAGATATAAAAGGTCTCAGTTTATAGTGCACAATATTTAAAATAAAATCTTTTTATTTTGCTGAGTCAAGCAAAATTGACTGTTATATTTAAAATATGATTTTCTTCTTACCAATTTATTTTTTAAACATTTGAACAAATTTTAAAACATACATCAGTATATTTTCTATATATGGCAAGAAACAGCATTTCATGCCATGTGAAGCAGGAGGATGGGAATACAGGCAGTCCTTGACTTACATCAGTTCATTTAGTGACTGTTAAAAGTAACAACAGCATTGAAAAGAGTGACTTATGACCATTTTTCAGACTTATGACCATTGCAGCATCCTCATTGTCACATGATCAAAATTCAGACACTTGGCAATTGGCTCGTATCTATGACAGTTGTAGTGTCTGGGATCACACAATCATGTTTTGTGATCTTCTGACCAGCAAAGTCAATGGCGCAGCCCGACTCACTTAGCAGTCATTTAACAACTGTGGCAAGAAAGGTTGCAAAATGGGACAAAAGTCACTTAATGAATGTCTCACTTAGCAACAGAAATTTCGAACTCCATTGTGGTCGCAAGTCAAGGAATACCTGTAGTTGCTCTGTGGGATTGTATTATAGGCCAATGCACTGTCGGTCCCATATTCCAGAGCTGCAGTAGTCACAAGACTGGCCCTTTGGTCATCCTGGAGCAGTTCATCCATGGCAGGCTGGTGCACAGGCCAGTCCTGTGACTACTGCAGCTCTGGAATATGGGACTGACTTTCCCACCAATGTCAGCAAGCCACCGTCAGTCAAAATTCATATGAGTGGTCCGCGGGACTTGAAATTATGAGTTTGGTAGTCCCCGAGGTCCAAAAGGTTGGTGACCCCTGCACTGCTGGATATGTGTATATATCAGTTCTATAGTTTTATTTTACTGTTTCTATTGCTAGTCAGAGTTGAGGCTGGGCAGCCCATCTGTATTACATACCATAGCTCTCTACCGAGGTCAGGCCTAGAGATTTGCTTCTTTCCTATCAGAAGGCTGCAGCATGACTGCAAGAATGGGCGTTGGTAAATTTACCTGAGAATGCCCTTTCTATCTATGCTGCTAGAGAGCCTAGGATGGATATGACTCCTCCTGATGACATCATCAAGCTGAGTTTGTCTAGTATAAAAGTAGAAGCCTGTGGGAGAAACCCCCCAGCTTTGGCGAAGATACTTGACAGACTTTAGTGAGTGTCTCTGAAAGCCAAAAAATATTGTGAACCATAACATACCTTACCACAATCCGGATGCAACAAGGGAGGGGCTGGGCTCCCTAGCAGCAGAGATAGAAAGGGCGTTCTCAGGTAAATTTACCAATGCCCATTCTCCTCCATGCTGCTGCGAGAGCCCAGGATGGGACATACCAAAACCTTCATGTCCTCGGGAGGGTCCTCGTCTGGTCTCTCACTCCGAAGTAGGCACGACTCACTGAAGAACCTGTCTGCCAAAAGCCGCGCTTGTGGAGGCATAGGAATCCAGGCGGTAGTGTCTGATGAATGGAGACAGGGATGTCCATGGAGCTCTTCTGCAAATCTCCTCTAGGGGTTCCTGGGTGGCCCAGGCAGCCAAAGTTGCAGCACTTCTAGTGGAGTGTGCTGTCAAGCCATGTGGTACTGGCAGAGCTTTGGCTTGGTAGGCCTGTGCGATGCAAGCCCTGATCCACCTGCTGATCCACCTGCTTAAGGTGGCAGGAGGGGCCTTGTTCCCCCAGTGGGAAGGGGAAAAGGATACAAACATAGCCTCTGTCTTCCTAAACGCTGAAGTGTGTTTCTAAGGACCCTTCTAACATCTAAGGTGTGCCACTTGCGCTCTAAGGCATGGTGTGGACGGGAACAAAAATCAGGAACTACTATCTCTTGGGATCTGTGGAATACAGAATTTATTTTTGGAACAAAGGTAGGATCTAAATGAAGAACAACTCTATTGTCGTGAAAAGTGCAGAGGTCCTGCTGTATAGGTAGAGCAGCCAACTCTGACACCCTTCTAGCTGAAGTGATGGCTATTAAGAAAACCACCTTGAAGGTCAAGAATTGAAGGGACACCTTTCTGAGGGGTTCGAAGGGAGGTTCTGCTAGGGCCTGGAGGACCTTGTGAAGGTCCCAGTATGGGAACCTGTGAACCACAGGAGACAGGTTCACCAGATCTACAGACAGGTTCACCAGATCTGCAAACCAGGGTCTCCTGGGCCAATGGGGGGCTAGGAGAATCAGCTTTGCCTGTTCCTCCAACATCTTCCGAATGACCACCGGAATGATGGGAAGAGGGGGAAAGGTGTAAAAGAGTCCGGTGGGCCATCTGCTCCAAAGTGCCTTGGTCCCCTCCACTCCCTGATAAGGAAACCTGGTGAAAAATCTATTTACTTGAACATTTGGGGGAGAGGCGAAGAGGTCTAGGTCCGGTGTCCCAAACCTGAGGGAGAGATTCCTGAAAATGGACTGGGGAAGGGACCATTCTGCATGGCCGATTGGGCTCCTGTTCAGCCAATCGGCTTGGGAGTTGTCAACTCCTGAGATGTGATCTGCTGTGATAGACAGCAGATGTTTCTCTGCCCACCTCACCAACCTTATGGCTTCCCTCATGAGGGCTCTGGACCTTGTGCCCCCCTGCCAGTTGATGTGCACCTTTGCAGCCATGTTGTCTGTCAACACTAGCACACGGGACCCCACTATCCTGTCCCTGAAATGTTTCAGGGCTAGATAAATGGCTCTGAGTTCTAGCCAGTTTATGGGCCCAATCCTGTCTAACTGGGACTAGATCCCTTGAGCCATGAGACCCTCCATGTGGGCTCCCCAATCCAGGAGACTTGCATCGGTGGTGATGATCAGTCTGTCCGGTTCCTTGAATGAGAGACCCTTTGAAAGGGCTGGGGAAAGCCACCACTTGAAGGAACAGTGGACCTCTGGAGAGAGCAGGACCTTGGTAGATGTGTGGCTGGTTACTGCTCATTGAAAGGGGAGCAGGAACCATTGTAGAGCACATGAGTGTAGCTGTGCCCACGGAACAATGCCTATGCATGAGATCATTTTGCCCAAAAGTTTGGACAAAAGCGACAGGGAGACAGTGTGTTGACGTTGGACCTGTCGAATGATCTCGATAAGGCTCTGCCCTCGCGCTGGAGACAAAAACTTGGCACAGAGTTGTGTCGATGATGGCTCCCTAGATGGAGCAATCTGGTTGTTGGGAAGAGATGGCTTTTCTTGGAGTTGATGGAAAAACTGTGGTACTGGAGTCAATGGAGAGTGGTTTGAAGATCTTGATGGGCAGAGAGGGTGGAGGATGACAGGATCAAGATGTCATCCAAGTAGCATTCGATTCTCACTGGAACAGACCAGAGCAAAGCCACCAATACTGCCATTAAATTTGTGAAGACTCTTGGGGCAGATGAGAGCCCGAAAGGAAGGGCCCGATACTGGAAGTGGGAATTCTGGTTACAGAAACGGAGAAACTGGCGATGATGAGGCCAGGTGGGAATATGAAGGTAAGCCTCCCTGAGATCAGTGGAAGAGAGGAGATTGCCCTCCTGAACGCTCTCCAGAATAGAATGCAGAGTGTGCATTTTGAAACGCCTATATGGGATAAACTCATTCAGAAATTTTAGATAGAGAATGGCTCACCAACCCAAGGCCTTAGGGACCACGAAAAGCCGAGAATAAAGCTCACGTCCACGTTGTAATTCAGGGACTGGTTGAATGGCCCTTATATCGACCAGGTGACTAATGGCCGATTCCATAAGTGCCCTTCGTGAACTGTCCCGGGAAACAGGGCAGAGTAGAAATTTTCCTGGGTGTGGTGATAAAAATTCTAATTGTAACCCCGACCTTACTGTATTGAGTACCCAGGCGTCTGTCGTTGACTCCTCCCATCTGGAAGCAAAAGAGGCCAAACGACCTTCAATGGGAGAGGAGAATGAGAGATTATTTAGAGCGATGGAAGGAGCGACCCCCGCCCCAACAAAAGGGCTGTTTACCTGCAGCTTGATGTCTGCCGGTAGCCTCATGGTGTTGATCTTGACACTGACAATACGCTCTCTGAGGTCTGGAGAAGTGAGAAGCATTTTCGGGCCTGAATGAGGGAGGCCGGTATGGGGTAGGACAGAAGTCTGCTCTCTTTCCTGTTGATGAAAGGACTTTACTTTTGTCTTTTGTTTCAACAACAAATGGGTCAAGGGCATCTCCAAACAGCTTCTCACTGGTACATGGGGCAGTAGCTAATTTCCACTTGCATCGAGGCTCCGCTTGCCAATTTCGTAGCCATAGCAGTCTCCTAGCTGCCACTGATGATGCCATGGCCCTGGATGAGAACTTGGTGGCGTTGAGGGTGGCATCCACCAAGAACTCTGCTGCTGCTGCTATGATCATATTGAGGTCTTGATGCCACCTACAGTCTGCTGGAGGTATGAGGCTTTGAAGTTGGCATAGCCGGTGGATGGAAGACCTTGTAAAAAATGATGCAGCAATCGAGGCCCGGATGGTTACACTTCAATGTTTGTTCAGAGCATTTGTCCTCTGCCTTTAGTACGTCCTCAGGCTCAGTTGGAGTGCTTGAGGAGAAGGAGGCCACAACTGGGGCATCTATTGGGGGAACTGCCAGAGCCGTAGCTAAGGAAGGACCCACGTTGTAGAACCGCCTATCTTGGGACGATGGTCAGGGGCCTGCAGTGGGGAAGGCAAATTGTTCCTTGACTAAGTCAAGAAAGATGATGGGGGAAGGAAGGACCTCCAAATGAACAATGGGTTTGGAGAAGAGGAAATCACCATGCCCTGATTGTACCACTTGATGCTCGGGGGCAATTTCCTCCGCTGACAACTGGGCTGTTACCAGTGCCTTGTGTAGGAGAGGTTTGAATAAAGCGGATTTGAATACAGAAGCTAAAGGAGGCTGATCAGGCCTCAGATCTTCCTATCCCTCCGAGAGATTGGGGTCCCAGATTTCTCCCTCTTCCAGATCAGAATCAAGGGAGGGGCTGCATTCAGATGATTCGTCATACTCTCCCTGAGTGAGGTCCACTCCTTCCGCATAGGTAAGGTGCACCTTTTATTCTACATGGTGAGGTAGTTCCCTTTGGGGAATCTGAGCTAGAGGAAAAGCCAGGAAGGAAGGCTGAGGTCTGTCTGAAGGCCTGAAGATGATGCCACCTAAAATGGCCACTCGCTACTTTCTTTAGAAAAAGAGGCTTTCAAAATGGCCACTCGCCACCTGCGGTTGAAGAAGAAGCCTCCAAATTGGCCACTCACAAGAGCTACAGGCTACTCAGGGGTTAAATCGCTCCCTAGTCTGTAAACAGTCCCGAATGGTGAAATCGGCAATAAAGTGAAAACTGCGGTTTTAACGATCAGCTGAGAGGCGCTGTTATTGCCGATGCGATCTTAACGATCCTGGAGGCCGAAATCACTAAGGGAAGATTGTGGAGAATCAAGGGTTGCTCCCTACTTACAGTCTCCCTTGGATGAGAAATGTCAAGTCCTTGGTGTTGCAGGAGAGTGGAGCCCCACTCTCCTGAAGGTACAGCTGCACCGGTTCCCGGGAGCTATGCCAATGATGAAGATAGCTTTCGCTTTTGCTGCTAACTAAACTGCTTTCAGAGACACCAGTTTATGGTCATCGAAAGAAGCTGAGTCAAAGCTGGGGGGTTTCTCCAACAGGCTGCTACTTTTATACTAGACGGACTCAGCTTGATGATGTCATCAGGAGGAGTCATACCCATCCTGGGCTCTCGCAGCAGTATGGAGGAGAAAAGAACAATACGAGACAAGGAGGCTTGACACAATTCTTTCTAGCCTTAAACAGCATCCTCCTCCACTTGCTAGTTTATTCCAAGGCTTCTTTTTCCCCCCCAAAAAAGGAGTAAAGTGCAATTAAGAAAAATAGGTAATGTGTATTTTCAAAGCTGGGCTATTATGATTTCACCTCAAAGCAAATGTATTAAACTGAACTGAATTATTTAGTATTCTAATACTTAAATATATGCATGCACTCTACATACATGCTGGAATTGGGGCGGTGGTTCAAGAGCTTTTAAATAATTTAGTCCATTGAAAACATGAAAAGGAAACACTAAAGAAATAGTCTTCCTACTAGGATAATGTGAAGCAGACTTAATTTTCTATGAAATAATTATGTATGGTTTTACAATGAAGACTTTATTAACAAGAAAAATCTAGCTTGTATGGAAGGTGGGAGTGCTTTTCAACAAGGAACAAGATAAGATAAGCTTTTAAAAAAAATAAAAATAAAGGTACACAAACATACAAAAAGGTGATTAGAAATAAACCCTGGTCTTTCAAACCTACTCATCCTATCAAATGATTTACTTTCTATGATTTACCAAATTGCAAGAACCTTTCTAGATAGTTTTCGGATTGCACACATCTGAAATATAATTCAAACAAGCTTGTTTTTACCATCAAATAACCAAGGTAAGGATGCCTGACATAAAATGCAGCACCTATGTATCACTGAGGTCTCGTTATGTATCCAATCACAACAAAAAACATTGTTGTTATCTTACTACAGGTAATCTTCAACTTATGACCATAATTGACCTAACATTTCTGTTGCTAAGCGAAACATTTGTTAAGTGAATTTGCACCATTTTACCACCTTTCTTGTCACAGTTGTTAAGTGAATCACTGAAGTAAAGTTAATAATACAGTTGTTAAGGGAACCCCATTGACTTTGCTTTATGAGGTCACAAAAGTGATCATGTGACCCCAAGACACTGCAACCATCATAAATATGAGTCATTTTCCAAGCGTCTAAATTTTGATGATGTGACCATAGAGATGCTGCAGCGGTTACAAGTGTGAAAAATGTTCATAAGTCATTTTTTTCAGGGCTGTTGTATCTTTGAATGGTCACTAAGTTAAAGAGCACCTGTATAATGCTTTGATGTTTGAAGTTTTCAGTGTTCATTCTTTCATTTTTATTTAACCTTTTGTCCACAAATTGTGAGGAGTATATAGAGTTATTCTCCGTTCCATTTTATTCAAACACAGCCTTTTGAAGTTTCTAAGGCTAATAATTTGGCTAAAGTCATCCAAAGCTCAGTATTAGATATCCCCAACCTAATTCAGCACTTCAACAATTGCTACCTACATTATCCCACATAATGGCATTAAGGTCTAATACATTTCAAAAACTTCATCAAGAATGTTTCTGGTTATGTAGAGTCTTGGTGTATCAGAATTTTTTAATTCTATGGCAACTAACTCAGAAGGAAAAAAAAATCTTCTGCACTTTACTGAACTGAAAATCTTATCTCCTGGAACTCTTATAAGACTGCAAATGTGATACTAACATTCTTTCAGAAAAGTTTTAGAAAGGTCTACGAATACAGCCACTATTTTTTCTACGATAACAATTTCTAACATGTCATTAAGTTGTTGAACCCAATCCAACACTATACCAACAATAAAGCAGCTTGTTCCTTATTGAAAAACCATTAAAGAAACAGAAGGAATAGGCAGGTTTCTGGCCAAATTTTCATCTTAAATCAAATATCTGTTCCAGACAAAGATCATCTGCATACCTACTCAAAAGACTAAATATTGTTAACACTTGATTCCACATATATCCAACAGACTGATTTTTCACTAAACGACATTCCCCTTTATTCCGATCCATCTAGGTTTAGTTTCCACAGGTCTTACTGTTTTAATTTAAAAATAACTATAGCGCTAAAGAAATAGTCTTCTTTTTCCATATAATTTGTAGTGTTTTGTCCAGATGAAATTTATTTTAATTAGTAGGTCCACAAACAAAGGCAAAACAATACAGTATTGTTACTGTAGAGAGACTTTAGCATCCTTTGTGAGATAATAATCACCTTTAAGCTTTGGTATTTTTATTAACTAATGCTGGATATGCATTAGGGGGAAAAGGGAAATAATTTCAATTAGTCCTTGCATCCAGGGAAGCAATAAATCTCTCTTAAATACTGTCAAACTTTTTACAAGGATGCCAGAAAAAATGAGCAGCAATAATTTCCTAAAAGAGAGCCAACTTTGTCCTCTCCTGCTGTCCTATTACAAAATACAATTTAAAGGTCTTTTCAAGCAGAGAGGCCATTAATAAAGCTATTAAAAATAATGCTGAACTACAATTAATGATCATAATGATCCTGATCATATGATTTCACAGGATCTCAAACTGAATTGGAGTAATAATATTATGGTTAAACTAAACGGTACTAATTTTTTTCCTGCACAGATTTTTTTAAAAAGTTCATTTCTCCATTATTTCTTATAATTTAATATGGGGCATAAATGTTATAAAATTCCAGAGCTGTATATAGCTATTCGAATTTTGCAGGGTAGTGCATTTTAGTTCACCAGATTTTTACTTCATTGTTGCAGATTCTTTCAGGCAGATTCCAGAATTGCAAGTAATAAAGAAAAAAATACAGGTAGTCCTTGACTTACAACTACATTTGGCACCAGAATTTGCACTGCTAACCAAGGTATTTAAATGAGTTGCACCTGATTGTATGACCTTTTTGCCACAGCTGTTAAGCAAATCCAGCTGCCCCCATTGACTTTGCTTGTCAGAATCCAGTTTGAAAAGTTGCAAATGTGATCACATGACTCTGGAATGCTGCAACCATCATAATACATGCTGACTGCCATGCACCCAAATTTTGACCATGTAACCATGGGAATGCTCTAATGGTTGTAAGTCTGAAGACCAATAAGTCACTTTCTTCAGTGCCCCTGGAAATTTGAATGACTGTTAAACAAATAGTTGTTAAGCTAAAGACCACATATAGTCTATTTGCATTATGTATTATGTAGGATGGAACTCTAGGGATTTAAAAAAATAAAGCCCAACTGCATAGAAATAAGTATTAAAACATTGTAAACTTATTTTGCTTGAGAATCATCTGGTCCTTAGTAATTTTTTATTTATTATATCATGTTTAATTCAACCTTTAACTCAAAAGCCTCCCCAAATATCTACCTTTAGATGTTGCGGGTGCTTCATTACCGGAGTGTTTTAAAAAGAGACAGCACAGTCATTTGTCTGAAAAGATATAGGAGCTGGACTAGAGGACCTCCAAGGGTCCTTCCAGCTCTATTCTGATTCTGAAAACTGTTTATCACACATAGATTCACTGGGTTTAATTCTACAGTATACATATCTAGTTGCTTGCTTTCTGGATCTTATATAATTTCAGCAATA